CCCCAGCCCCAAACTAAAGGAAATACGTGTTTTATCCGACATCGATCTTTTGACGTCATCCCTTAAGTAAATGATATTGACAATTCCTAAGTCGAGCAATCAAACAATCAACTAGTAATCAAAATGTAAACACGCACCAAATATTTTATCCCATTTCTGCAAACATGATGGTGTTTTCAAATTAGCCAAAACTACTTCATCCAATAACTTAATACCTTTCAATTGAGTCTCCCGATCTGGTTCATCACTTTGTGTATTGCTTTTGCATTGCGCCCTCTAGAGTACTTTAGATAGGCATTTTGTTGAATGTTGTAACTTTTTAAAAGTGCATTGCTAATCTTCATCAAGGGAATCAGCAAAATTTCTGTTCTCACATGGGAGAAAGAAAAGTTCTTCCGACCAGTTTAACTGTAAATTTCCCACCCAAATTTCCCTTGTTTTTTTCATAATTCAAATGGAAATCTGACGATTTTGCACATTTATCTAATATGCTACAATATAGACAAGCAACGACTCTGAGCCATCAAGCAAGGCGGAGGTGTCATTCCCATATAAAAGCTAAAGAGATTCTAGCTATCTAGTGGTGATATCCTACAATATAAGAATGTATTCAAGTTGTATGAATTAAGGCTTCAACACATACGAATAAAAAGATGTAACTGACAAAAATTAGAAATATGAACATTATTAATTACACAACTTGTAACGCTAGGGTAAAATACCTGAACCAATTTTCCCCACAGTTCTCTGATTAATCACTTTTTCAATTTGATCAATAAATTTCTATGAGTATCGAATGCCTTGGTAAAATCGAGGCGAACTAAACAAGACATCGTAACCTAAATGTGTATTTTCACCCATATTCTGGCCTTTAAACAAAAACTTTTTTGATTACTGTGAATTATATTTGGTAAGACCATCCTTATTATTTTTTAATAAATATCTATTCGGCTTTGAGAATACAAGTTATAACAGCTTGGTCCTGTGTTATTGACAAGGAACCGTATATGTATGACTGTCCAATATCTGCCCAAAAATACTTATAAAACCTAACAGTGAACCCGTCAGTGACTGGACATTTGTCATTAGGCATATGCTTGAGTATTATATTGCACGTTGCCATTGCCAATAGCGCCGTAGAGGGCCTGGTCATCGTACAGTAGAACGGGGAAAACGACTCAAAGCATTTCCGCCTCATATTATCAGTTTTTCCTTCTATTATACATTATTTGATAATACTTTCTAAGAATACGATTTTTTTTGTATTTTTATTATTATTAATTACCAATTTGCCAATTATTTTATTCACGTAATGTTTTTCCTTGCAACAAAAACAACATTCCCCATTCACTTGACTGCCAAGAACGCTCCATATTTTCAATTAGATCCTCCAAATTATCAATTTCCTCTCGACAGTAGTTTTTTTTATGAACTGCATAAGTTTGTGCCACACAATTTGTTCACTTATATGGGGTCTGCTCTTCTATGTTGTCAAGCAAGATCCATATCGATGAGGTAGTGTGCCATGTTGTGAATCCTCTTAATGTATGTCGCGAAGTAGTGCGGTTTGCCGGTCCTGGTTAGATGGTAGGAAAACCAACATTGTGAGATGGTTTTGTGCTTACTTGACCATCAATAGGACTCGGAAATCCATGTTTTTGGACTTCATCTGATTAGGGACTAGTTAGTTAATTAATATTCACAATTGCAAACGCGTGTTAGATTTTCAAACAGTAGCTATGCACACAAGAGCTAAACATAACCACATCAAATCAAATCATAATTCTAATAATACAAAATTTACCATTATGTATTTTTTTCACTTTTAATGAGCACATTTAGAACATGAATACATTCATTTCATATTTTGTACTTCACATAATACATCTCAGCAAAAGGACAAAAATACAACTTTTATCAGATATGAAAAATGGATAATAGAAGTGAATAAAAAATCAAATGATTAACAATATTCAGTCAATATTCAGTTGATTGAAATAATTCTGTGTTTCCTGTTCTTTTAGATATATATAAATGTCACTAAATTTTACTAAAATGTATGACCTCTCATAACTACATTTTAGGAACACTACTTTTAATGACATTATTAATATTTTTATAAAAAATTCATTTATTATTTTGTATGACCTAATCTCTTTTTGAAAATATTCACGCCTTTCTTTTCCTTTTTCTTGCATTTTTCTTTGCAACAACTTCTTCTTTCTTTTCTTCCTTCTGAGCTCTGCCGACTTCCTTATAGACTTTTTTACCTTCTACCTTACTGAGCCACAGACCAGGTAGTATGATCACATGACATACATGTAGGGCAATGGAGCTGTAGTCAGTGGATGGATAGGTGTTCCAGCACAGCTCTATGATACCAAGTAGCAATATTCTGTGAAAAATAACAATGATACACTATAATTAATGACGCAAAACATTTGACAAGTTTTATTGGACTTTTTTGAACAGTATTCAGGTATTCAAACACAGTAACATGAATACATAAATACATGAACACTGAACACAAAAACATGAATAAATGAACACATGTACACTGATAACAGGAACATGAATGCATAGACATTGAATACAGGAACATGAATACATGAAAAAACTGAACACATGTATACTAAACATAGGAACATGAAAACTGAACAATGAATACAGGAACATGAACACATGTATACTAAACATGGGAACATGGAAACTGAACATTGAATACAGGAACATGAACACATGAAAAAACTGAACATATGTACACTAAATATAGGAACATGAAAACCAAACGATGAATACAGGAACATAAATACATAAAAACTGAACACATGTACACTAAGTATAGAAACATAAAAACCAAAGATTGAATTTCGCTTGGAATTTATTTTCGCTATTTTTGCTGAAGGGCTGATTTAGTGAAAATAAAATCCAGTGAATATATTTTTTTTCCTATATTTCACATTCAACTCATCAAATATCAGGAAAAATAAATTCTATACAAAACACCAGAAAAGCCTTTACAGCGAAAATTAATTCCAGCAAAAATAAAGTATTTTGCAGTATATTTGTTCACTCTCCAGCCATTTTCAAAAGTCAAGACCAAACAATACTGAACAGATGTTCACTGGATGTATCATTATTTAACACAATTATTTAAGAAGTGCAATAGGCAGTACTGAACACAGACACACTATATTTGTGGATGCGATCAGATTTACACTTAAGATTAGATAGTGGATAATCTCTAGTAGGCATTTCCAGTAGGCATCTCTAGTAGGCATTTCCATTAGGCATCAAGGCAATTAGAAGACCTACCTTAAGACAGATGGAAGTCCTGTGCTCCAAAGAAGATAATGTAAAGTATGGAAGTACCAAATATAGAACTGGTAATGTAAAGATCGACTCATACACATACCAATGAAATTGGAAGAAAATAGAACAAATACAATATGTAAGACAGGTTAAGGAAAATAAAACACATGTCTGCATAGAAACAAACTCAAAAGATCAAATGTCAAAGTCAACTTTAGTGTCACAAAATATACCAATATTAATTTTTTTTATTTGATAATAACGATTTTGATCAAAACCTGTTAGTTATATTATTTTCATTTGGTCTAATTTTAACAAGCAGCCAGTCGGCCGAGATAGCTCCGCTGTTAGCAATGCACATTTCAATTGAAGAACAGAAGATATCATTAGAAAATGAACAATATGTATAGTATCAAACAGGGATTGCGTTAACTCCATATTTTGCTTCCCGGACTCCAATTATTGAAGAGGGACCCAGTTTTTCAGGCAAGATGGGGTCCAATCTCTAATAAAGTTATCCAGGGTCAAATTTCAATTTCTTAAAATTGGAGTCGTCTTGCTAAGACATTAGTGCAAACCCTGATCAAAGCAATGGGCTGTTTTCAACAAGAATTCAAAAATATCACTTTTCACCAAGACAAAAATAATCATCAAAATTAGAGAATTGAAGATATCATCATGGAATGAACAAATCTGAGAGAGATCCACATGTAGTACCTATATATGTAATATCAAAGCAATTGGACTTGTGGATTTAACAAGAAGTCGAAAATATCACTTTTTACCAAAAATGACAGAAATATTCACCAAAATTAGAGAATTAAAGATATCATTACAAAATGAACAAATCTGAGAGAGGTCTACATGTAGTACCTATATATGTAATATCAAAGCAATTGCACTTGCAGTTTTTAACAAGAAGTCGAAAATATCACTTTTTACCAAAAATGACAGAAATATTCACCAAAATTAGAGAATTAAAGATATCATCACGAAATGAACAAATCTGAGAAAGGTCCACATGTAGTACCTACAAATGTAATATCAAAGCAATCGGACTTGCCGTTTTTAACAATAAGTTGAAAATATCAAAATAACAAAAATATTCATCAAAATTAGAGAATTTCAGATTTTGACATGAAATGAACAAATCTGAGAAAAAACCATCCAAGGTACTTGCATATCAAATTTGAAAAAATTCTGACTTGCGATTTTGAAGAAGAAGTTGAAATTGTAAAGTTGACGACAACGGACACCGACGGACGACGACGATGGACAATCAGTAATATGAACAGCTCCGCTGTGTCGATTTTGTCTACAGCGAAGCTAATAAAAATATTTAAAGAATAAAGGAAATGTTGTATGATAATCATCACATTTTTTTGGTCACTATGATATTTAAAGAGTAGTCGTCATGCTTCGCACGCGCCAGATATATGTTTTCATATAAACAAAGATGGCGACTTTGACTTTGGCGCAGATCAACGAGTACAAACTGAGACGTTACCAAGCTTTGATGGGGTATTTTTACGTGATTGTAAGGTATCGAAGGAGTCACCGGTGGTAAATAGTGCAAGTCGCACCCAGGTCGAACCTCATACGAGTGATTTCCATTAGAAGAGCGCATTGGATTATGGGGAAATTAATGTTTATCAACACAAATGTCGCACATGCGCAGCGCGGCGACCACCGCCCTTTTAATGCCTGAACATTTGAATAAATACCAGTATATTTGTTTTTGTTACCTCAACCCAAATATGATTAAAATCCAGATAGGAGCTATAGTCGTTTTTAATATTATTCAATCACCAGTTTGTGGCTATCGTCAATGACAATATCTCTAACTATTTTCATGTATTCAGATTAGCAACCAATTAAAATTTGTATTACAAGCTACTTTCTAGTAAGGTGCATTCTAATTGGTTGACAAAAAGAGCTGCCTGATCATAAATGGTCAGATGTATTTTGAGGGTAATGTACACTGGGAAACAGAACTAAAAGTGTCTGCAGTTTCAACTTAGCTAAAACTTGGAAACCCAACATTGAAAATGGGGCTTAAATTTTACTTCTGAGCACATTTTTCATGCACTATTGTGTCAAAAAGTTGTATTACAGATAAACCAATCAATTTGGGTGACACAGTGCAAAAGAGCAACATTGAAAAAAAAGTTGTTCTTTCCATTTTTTCCCCCTAAGGAAGATTCTTGGTGAGTACATAAGACATTTAAATGCAGCATACTCCTGAACATGCAACAGCCACAGTATTTACCTCTAATTATGCATTTTATCTTTCAAGACTGCATACCCAAATTTCAGTCCTTGGATTTTAATTGATCTTCTTCTTAATTTATTTGGCTATAAAACATGACAATCTAGACACAATTTATGTAAAATGCAGTGCGACTATTACAGCCTCTTGAGAATCTAGATAGAAATGTAACGAATAAAAAATTCATGATGGATACAAACTACACTGTGTGTTCTTCACACTCATGATTATCTGACTGTGAGATTATAAATTAAATAAATGCTGATATGCATTAATACTTCTATAATAAGTCATAGTTAATGACATAGTCCCTGTTGGAATACGGGGGAATGTTATTTATTCCAAAAAATAGTGTAATATGGACCAAAGTCATAGCTAGTAATTGAGAGTGAATAATTGGCTGGTTTGGTATCAACAGAAATTAGACGTATTAAATGAATCTTCCAAAATCGAAATATATGGTCAGAAATGAAACAATATTTGTCCCAGGCAAAGTACTAGGCACATGCAAAGAATGAACAGATTTGGTCCACAGGGTTTTGAAATATGATTCGGGATGGATAGACAGACAGACAGACAGACAGACAGAGAGAGAGGCAGAAAGAGATCAAATCAGTCAAATAACCCTGTGTACTTTTGTACTATATAACACATTGTCTGTTGACTCGCTTTTTCCATTGATTCTTATATTTCAGTGAATCTTACAGCAGGAAATGTAATAATATATTGTGCAAAATTGCTACTTTTGATTTTTTTTTTGTGAAAATAACTTTGTGTGACAATTTACTTTCACTGATAAATTAAACCTGCTCCCTGAGTTGTGAAGTTTATTAGGGAGCGAAAGTAGATCAAAAGAAATCTAAGGACAACCACATCTTATGAAGGATATCATTCACGGTTAATCTTCGGTTTTCTTTTTTTCCTGGTTTCTGTAGCAATTTTTTCAAACTTCCAGTTTTTCTGTTATTGAAAGAAAAAAGATTTTAATTTACAAATCAAATTTATGTTTTTCAATATTGTAATAAGATGAAGTAAAAACTGATTCAGACAGGTTGCACAGTGTCAGTCATTTTGGGATGTTCAATTTAGACTGGTTTTACTATCGGTCAGTCCATTTAAGGTGTTCAGTTTAGGTTTCACTGTAAATGGTATTTGCTTAAGACATTTTTTCATACATGCGACTAAAAAAATAAAATAAAACCGTACCTGTTCCATCGATACAAAGTGAAAAGCACGAGCAACACGATATGAAGTCCCAATAAAGTAAATTGAAAATAACGATTCAAAAATAATTCTTCGCCGAGAAACCTCCAGTTTACTGTCCACTTGAAAAAAAACTGCCGACCCAGATCAAAGGATCGCATCAGATAACCCTTAGGATTTTCAAGTAGGAATGGTACCGCTAAGATTACCTGTGAAGTGAAACAGAGTAGAAATTATATGACTAATAAGATAACTATATGTTATTCTATTTACAGGAAAGCGAGATGCTCCTACTAAACATGAATGGCAAATAGTTATAAGATGCTGTATTGTTCGATTTACGATCGAGTTACAAAAATGACCACGCCCATATTTCAGAAACCATGCCCAACTTTTTGCAACCATGCCCAAATTGTAACTCGATGTTCAATTTACAGTCACGGGCAGCATATATTTTTATTTTTGTTAAACGTCCACTTTTAGTAACTCAAACTTTAATTAAGAGTTGACCGAACTTCCAGTTAGAATTTCTGTTTCGCTTAACCTTGTATATTTCCCTGTGATTTGAAGTTCGGATAACTGATAATAAAAATTTGCGTTACTAAATTTGAACAGTAAACAAAACCAAAAATCTATGTTGCCCGTAGGTTTGAGTTACTTAAGCATAATAAAAATATATTTTGCCTGTAACTGGAAGTTCTGTTAATGGTTAGTTGAAGGCAGTTGCAATTTGGGCGTGGTTTTGCAAAAGTGGGCATGGTTTATGAAATATGTTGCCTGTAACTGGAAGTTCTGTTAATGGTTAGTTGAAGGCAGTTGCAATTTGGGCGTGGTTTTGCAAAAGTGGGCATGGTTTATGAAATATGGTCGTGATCATTTTTGTAACTCAATGTTCGATACACGAACAATACAACATCACAATAGTTATACATTGTATGCTTAAATATGTAAATGAGTATAGAGGCCTGGAAGTTAACTCACTTGTACAACAGCACATATAAATAACCTAGGTATGGTTGCCAAAAAGCCAAATTCTGTGAGCAGCAATATCAACAATCCCGGTGCAAACAACAGAACATTCATTTTAATGGACACAGCAATACTGAAAAATAAAGTCAAAACAAATGAAAGTCAGATATATTCTCAATAATGGAAGTCAGAATCTTTTTAGGAAAAAAGTATGGAACAAAAATGTGGATTTATTCAGTGAAAGATGACAAAAGATGACATTTATGTACCAACAGCAAATCCAGAAAAAATAGCCTTCAATTAATTAGTTTATTCCCACATGAGGACACACGTCCTAAATGTCATTGTGTGTCATATATAGTGGAAATATAGTGATTTATTAATTTGCAAACTTGTGTTTAATAAATCATATATCATGTTGTTTTTCTATTCATCCTATGTATGCATTTCGAACAATTTTGTCAGCAGTAACTAATATTTAATTTGTGTACATGCGTCCTAAGCTTCTTAGCATATCATACTCATTTGCATACGTGTAGGCCATTTCTTGAATGTACTTTGCTGCATGAAGTGATTGTGTTTGAGGATAGTTTATCATCTGCGATTAATCAAATAATTTTATTCTAATTATTGAGCCAATCAATTTATGGCTATAGAGACACATTGGTAAAACTTTTATTAAATTATAGGCTATCGGTACATGTAGTTCTACCAAGGGACTTCACATATCTCATCAACAGTAAAACAGCAAGCATTTGTGACATCTCATTTGGGGACAAATTCTGTGCGTTGCTATGGTGAAGTGGGAAACTATTAGAAATGGCGAAATCATCAAATGCAAAAATAATTTGTCTAGTCACTGAACAAGTCGACTAGTTGGTGATGACATAATGTCAAATAGCGTGCATGGATGAGATTTGTCTCTTCGAAGGTGTAATATGAAAATACTACATGGCTTCATGTCACTGATATTCAATGATACATGTTGGTGTAATAAATATAATCAGAGGTACATTACTTGGGGTTTGCAACTCTGGTGACACGATACCAAGATCCCGTTTCAATCTCGCTCTCGCATAAGCGTTCCGACTCAGAAAAATGCGAATGCGCATGCCCGAGGTAACTTGGATACTGGAATGTCCAGGTGGATCAAAATAGCTGTTCTCGATATGGCGAATTACGATAACTATATTTTCTGTACATTTTCGACGTATTCCATTTTTTCACTATGAATGTGGTAATACATGCTTTATTGTTTTATTACAAACCGCCTATGTCATGTCAGAAGGTCGTAGCATCAGCCTAGCTATCTACGAGATGAAACTTGAATGGGATCTTGGCATGATGTCACCATACAGTACTATGTGCGTTGCAAACCCATGGTACTGTACCTCTGATAATAATAACATATACATTACCTGAACCAAAAACATCCCCATGACCATTTCTTATCTATGAACAAATTAACTGCCAGATACAGGAATATCATAGCGATAGGGTCGTTGAAAAGACGCAAGATAAATATAGAATGAATTCTGTACGACGTGCAACACATGAATATTAATACGTAGGGTGGGCACTGGAACAAAACAAAGCACAACTATTACAACTTTGCCCAGCGATGTATGTTGGATGGGCAATGAAACAAAACATAGCACAACTATTACAACCTTGCCCAGTGGCATACGTAGGATGGGCAATGAAACAAAACATAGCACAACTATTACAACCTTGCCCAGTGGCATACATAGGATGGGCAATGAAGTAAAACATAGCACAACTATTACAACCTTGCCCAGTGGCATACATAGGATGGGCAATGAAATAAAACATAGCACAACTATTACAACCTTGCCCAGCGATGCATGTTGGATGGGCAATGAAATAAAACATAGCACAACTATTACAACCTTGCCCAGTGGCATACATAGGATGGGCAATGAAGTAAAACATAGCACAACTATTACAACCTTGCCCAGCGGTGTGCATAGAATGGGACTTAAACAAAACAAAGGACTATTATTTAGTACTTGCTCTGTGGGGCATACATACGGTTATCACCATCTTGTTCCACTGAGGCAGAATTCGGGGCAATTTACTCAGTGATTAAATTTGAAAACATTCCAACTTCGGACTTCATATTTGAGATGTATCTAGAACTGTTATCTATTTTTGCTAAGTGATAACAAAACAATGCTAACCTTCTGCTTTATATATAAAATGAATATGATTGGAACAAAGCATGAATATGATTGGAACCAAAGAAAATAGAACAAAGCATGAAAACTTGATGGACCAATCAGAATAGTGGTACCATTACTTGTTACTGGCCTCGTTTGCCATGACATTTGGGATAGGACCTACCCAAATATAGGTTGGTAATTGCAAGTATATAAAAACAATAACACTTTAGAATAATACACATTTCTTTAACTTTAAAAACAATTTTTAAAACGATGCGTTACTTTTTTTTCAATTGCTGAAGGAGTTCTGAGAAGATAATTAAGTTGATTAATTGGTAATTTAAAGGTGGTTGAAATATTAGTATTTTGGTGATTCAAAGGACCAGTCATTGCGCAATGCACATTTACGTTGCATGGGACCCATAGCAAACATGACATGGAGATACAATGATAAAATGAGTTGCTATGGCAACAAATTCTAGAAAGTTGATGCACTGAAGCTAGCCTGCACTGAAGTTTATGGTGTCTAATCACCAAATCAAACATAAATTTCTTTATTTTAGGAATGTCTTCAAAATTCAATTTCACGATTTTATTGGATAAAACTTCTCATGAAATGTACAAAATATAAATCCTCACAATGCTTACGAAGTGTGGAATAAAACACTGAATACACTCAGTGAAATTTTCACTGCTACAAAATTTCATTCCAAATATTTTACTGATTCACAAAATCATGCGTACAGAGCACTTAGTTACATACTCACTTTGGCTGTTCTTTGATATATCCTAAACACCAACAATAAATTAATTAGATAAAAGCCTGAAAAGATGTACTGTGCTAGTCGTATATTCGCACCATATCCAGTGATGTAGTACAATCCAAGGTAAAAATAAACAAAACCTGCCGGATATCTACAAATTAGAACATAAGACAAATAAACATAAAATCTAGGCCTAGGTCTAGATAGGTTTCGATAAATACAGGTTAGATTAGTCTGCCTGATAGGAAATTAAAAAAAAAGATGATGCTTTGATTATCAACTTTTTCAACAATATATATTTCAGGTTCAGCATTGAAAAGTTGTGCACTCTTGGCACAACATACGCATTCCTTTTTATCGTTATCAATATTTATAAATTCAAACTAAAACGAGAGGTTCTATTGGCTGATAGAATAACATAAAAACATTTACATGCATGCACTTGTTGGCTGGTTGGATTCAACTGGCATTTAAATTTACAAATATTTATAAAGTTGAAGGAAATGGGATTGTTGTGCCGAGTGTAACACTAAATGTTTATGTATTTTTGAATTTGGGGATAACACTGGTATTACAAGAAGCAATATTGATATTTAAATGTAAATCTTTATCTATAAGTTTCAAACAAATATAAATGTGCTTAAATCTGGAATAATACAGGGAATTACTCAAAGAATGTTTTTTATAATATGTTGCTATGAAACATTGCAGTGTAAACAAGATATAATCTCAGCAACTGCAATATCAGCACTGGTTATATGAAGAAACATGCAAAATAGTGCAAGTTACAATAGAATTCAATAGAGATTTGAAATTTAAATTTATGCTACCAGTACTGTGGATTCATTTTGACATATACCGGTACTTACACAAGTGGTCCTGTTCCTCCTTTTAGTTTCATATAATCATAGGTACCATTGACAACGCCTTCAACTTCATCCATGTATGCTTCCCAATCTATCTCGGTATCTAATTTTAAAAACAGATTTTCACAAAAATTTACAACCATTCCCTATTTTATTAATAATTCTGAAGAATTTAATCTAGAATTATTAACTCTTTTATTCAAAAGAAAAGCCAAATACAAAATAGTAAGACAAAAATAATCTAGATCTCTAAAATGCATCTCTTTTCTAAAATGTGATATTTGTAAATTTAATTATTAATTATAATTATAATTATTTGATAGTAGTAATACACTTATTTGATGAAATGAACATATTTGCATAATAAGCATTACAAAGTCATTATCATTCCAACCAGATGTAAGGATAATAATACAAAACTTTAGTAGTAATAATATCTTTA